CAAAGTGGCTGCAAGTGATTGTACTATGTGTCGTACCCGAAAAGAGCTGGTTGCCGACCGAGACCAGGTCGAGGACGCTGCCGCGGTGACCGTGCAACGACGCCAGCACGCTCATGTCGGCCACATCCCAGCACTACATGTAATAGCGTCGCATGCGCCATGTGCAAACATACATGGACAACGAACGACGATCGAGTAGTCGCTGGAGCATGTAAAGAGGAGCGGTTTCTTGCCATGGGCGCGGGCCTCGGGCGCAATGTAGCGGATGCCGTAGACAAAGCCGTGGTGGTTGCTCATGCTCTGCCACTCGGTCGTCGGCGCCAGGATCGCGCTCAGCGACGACGCGCAGACGCTCGCCACCTTGACGGTCGTGTCCTGGCAGGCCATGAAGAGCGTATCGTTGGTCGACGTCATGGAGAGGATGTGGCCGTTGTAGCCCGTGAGCACTTGGACGCAGGCAAAGTCGCGGTCGCCGTCCCAGACGCGGATGGTCTGGTCCACGGACGCCGAAATGAGGATCTGCGTGCTCGGGACGTTCTCGAGGCATGTGATGGAGCGCGTGTGGCCCTGCAGCGAGTACGCGGGCGTGAACTCGTCGAGCTCCCAGACAACGATGAGGTTGTCCTGCGTGCCGGCGCAGAGGCGCTGCGTCTTCTTGAGGATCGCGAGCGCCGTGATCGACGCCTTGTGGCGAAAGGTCATGAACGAGTTGTTGTGCGCATCGAGGCCCTCGGATGAGTTGATGCTCGGGAGGCCCTTCGCCGCCATCTCGCTCGGCGTCTCGTACATGAGCACCTGGTGCGTATGATCGTTCTCTTCGGCCTCCGATGGCATCCCGCGCGACGCACTGTACCGGCGGCTCCCCTGCGTTTCATGGTCGAAATCGGAATTTGCCGCGTTGCCCTTTGGTTTAACGTACACGTTAAAGTGCGTTTTTCGATTGGACGTCCAGCGCACGGCGCAGGCAATATGCGGCACGACCCAATCAGCAGGCGCGGCGACCCCGTGTCACGTTTTTTGGCGGGCTGCTCGCTGGCAGTAGCGTGTTGCAGCCCAGAGCTTTGCTTCTACACCGTGCAGCAGTCGTGTGCTCGTTGGTTCATATTAACTCCAAGCTGCAGTTGCGTTTGCTAGCCCCAAGCACAGGCACAGAGAACAGGGAGGCTTGTAGGGACACGCCGGCGCCCTTTCTCGCTACTTCAACGTGATCTTGTCACCTCGGAGGGCTGGGTGCTGTGGCTCATCATAGAGTGATTTTGCAAGGGTGAAATTCAGGATTGATCAGGATTGATTCTCGCACCACTGTACCGGTACGCCTCGCCCTAGCGCGAGAGACGGGTGAGAGGTATTCGATCGATCACCTCGCAAAAGCGATCGGCGGGCTTGCCACTCCCTTCTGGGAGCGGTCATATCACTGTGCATTGGTCGCTGGCGCAAGGCAGCCAGACGAGACGCTCCTTCTCTTCAACGCCCTGCGATCGCGGCCACGACCTTGTAGTCAGCAGCTTGGCTTCTTGAACCGAATGCGTTTTTCTCGCCAATATTTAAAACGTCCCGTCGGTTGGCGATAAGGTGAGGCATGGACTGCGTGATCCAGGCTGCATGGAGGCTACCCACGGCCACATTCTTAACACTGCTTCGGTGATTCTTCTCGTGGCGCGGGTTATGTAATCGGCGCTCGGGTCGCACCCACCGCAGTTTGGGTGGGATCGCAAAATTGGAAGAAATCTTGTTGCGTGTCACCGAAAATAGACGCGTCAGTCGCCAACGACCCTCGCCGGACGCAGCTGTAGTAGTATGAAGCGCAAGGGCCGCAGCAACGCCGACGACACGGCGCCGTTCATGAGCCTGCGCCAGACCACCGCCATCACGGCCATCGCGCTTCTGCCCATAGGCCTCTGCATTGGGTCGGTCGACAATGCCATTAGCATCTGGGACCTCGCTACCTTTCGCCCAACGCATCACCTTCGCGGCCATGGCCGCTCGATCACGTGCCTCTGCGGCGTGCCATCCACGTCGCTTCTTCTCTCGGCGGCTGTCGACCGCACGCTGCGCGTCTGGGACGGCAACCGCGACTTTGCCTGCGTCCAAGTGCTCACGGGCTACAACGGCCACATCCTCTCCATGACGTCGACCAACGATACGCTCTTCATGGCCTGCCAGGACACGACCGTCAAGGTGGCGAGCGTCTGCGCGTCGTCGCTGAGCGCGATCCTGGCGCCGACGACCGAGTGGCAGAGCATGAGCAACCACCACGGCTTTGTCTACGGCATCCGCTACATTGCGCCCGAGGCCCGCGCCCATGGCAAGAAACCGCTCCTCTTTACATGCTCCAGCGACAACTCGATCGTCGTACGTTGTCCATGTATGTTTGCACATGGCGCATGCGACGCTATTACATGTAGTGCTGGGATGTGGCCGACATGAGCGTGCTGGCGTCGTTGCACGGTCACCGCGGCAGCGTCCTCGACCTGGTCTCGGTCGGCAACCAGCTCTTTTCGGGTACGACACATAGTACAATCACTTGCAGCCACTTTGTCTGATCCCGCAATCCTAGCCTCCCAAGACAAGACGATTTGCTGCTGGGACATGGACACGATGCGCTGCAACGGCATCCTCAAGGGCCACAGCGCGGCCGTACGTCTATTCTTTCAATGTATCAATAGACCATGGCTGAGTCTCCAAATGTAGGTGCTCACGGTGTGCAGCCTCGAAGACAAGAACCGGATCTGCTCTGGCTCGGCCGACGAGACCGTGCGCATCTGGAACACGCAGTCGCTTGCGTGCGTGCACACGCTCCATGGCCACCGCGGCGGCGTCTCGAGCATTCTCAGCACCGAGATGTTTGTCTTTAGCGCGTCCGAGGACAGCACCGTCAAGGTGTGGGACATTGACTTTATCTCCAACACCAACAACAACAACGCCAACACCAACGCCAATACTGAGAGCCAAGGACCGCCGCGACCGCAGAAGCTCAAGATGGACTCGAGTCTCATGAGTGTCAGCGCCATGTACAACAAGCAGACGTCCGACGCGTCCATGATCCACCTCTTGCGCAAGTTTGTGAGCATTCCGAGCGTCAGCGTCGACCCGCACTTGGTCGACGACTGCTGGATGGCGGCCAAGTTTGTCAAGGTAGAGCATGACGCCCTAGTGCCGTCCCACGCATGACCCTACTACTGTAGGGCTTGCTGCGGCAGCTCGGCGCCGAGTGCCGATTGGTGCACTGCGGTCCGAACATCAACCCGATCGTGATTGGGAAGCTCGGGAACGACCCGACCAAGCCAACAGTGCTCATTTGCGGCCACTAGTACGTCGTACTATGACATCGTGCACAGTATGGCTAAGCGTTGGAGCGTATCTAGTGACGTGCAAGCAGCGGACTCGAACCCGTTCATGCTGACGGGCCAAGACGGATACCTCTACGGGAGTGGGGTCGCGCGTGGGAAAGGTCCAGTTGTGGCTGCGCTCGCCGCCGTACAGGGTTGTTTGGCTGACGGTGCCGCGCTGCCCAATGTCATCTTCCTCCTGCATGGCGACCATGAACTGCGGGGCTTTCACGATGCGATCGCCGATCAAAAGAGCACGCTTGGTCCGGTCGACGTGATCTGGATTCTGGAAAATACGTGGCGCGACGACGCGACGCCAAGCGTGGCGCATGCGATGCCGGGTCGGCTGGACGTTGCCATCTCGGTGGACGGTCCGAGCATGGATTGCCACGGCGGCTTCCACGGCGGCGCGGTCCGAGAGCCGATGCTGGACCTCGTCGCGCTCGTCCATCGCCTCGTGGACCCGACATCGGGTCGTTTCACCGACCAAGCGTTCTATGACGTGGCAGCACCCGATGCGTTTGTCGCGCCAGCACCACGGTTGACGTCGCTGCTGGCATCGCTCGACAATGCGTCTGTGCTTGCACGCTCGGCCACAACGACGCTGACGCTGCACACGGTGCCGAACCAAGAGCCCAAGACGACGGCGGAGCTCGTGCTGCAGCATGTCCGTACCATGTACAAGACGCTGCCAACGAGCAATTGTTTGCGCCTGGCTGTCACTGCCAACGTCCCGTGGTGGCGCGAGGACCCGACGATGGTGGGCACTCGTGGTGTCCGCGTCTTCAAACAGGCTGACCTCGCGTGTAGGTGCATCTCGAAGCGGCGCGACGCACACTCGAGACTGTATGGGGAGCTCCGCCGTCCCTGCAGCACACGACGTCGGCCTCCAAGGTACTACTGCAGTCGCTTCTGCAAATTTGCTTCACACAGCGTGCATTAGATCACTACCGTACTCAAGGCCGCGTTCGAGGCCCCATGTGTGCACCTGGGCGTCGGGCCATCGCATGCCACCGCCGAGCGCGTCGCGATGAGCAACCTGCTGCGCGCCCGGGACGTCTTCAAGCGCCTTCTCAGTTGGCTTGCAGAGAGGTCGAGCGCTTTGCCGTCTCTCACCGCCAAGGCGCTCGCCCCGCGGGCTCCGCTGGACACCGGCGCAACGTGGCATCCGCCCAGCGCAGGCTATGAAATAAAAATTGCCTAAAAACAAATGATTATTCGTCCCGATGGTATCCGTAAGAAGTACCGAGTCTCCGGATACGCTGGCCGCAATCACACAAGAACCATGGTCAAGGTCCGGTCGACGCTCGGGTACTGCGTGTACTTTGGTGCGCTCGCGCTCTGCAGCATGCTGCTATTGCACGTGCTGGTGTACGAGTGCTACTATCGCTACGACGTGCTTGACTACCGCCGGCTCCAGGCGCGCGTGCTGCAGCTGCATGGCCTGCGACAAGCCACGCACCGCGGGCTGCTCGTCTGCCTCACGGACGCCACGCTGCCGCTCGGGCTCTCGCTGGTCAAAGAGGTGCGTGCGCTTGGTAGCCGCGATGCGATCTTTGCCTACCACTGCATGGATGCGCTGTCGCCGATCTCGCGCGAGCTACTGCGTGAGCTCGACGTGGTCGTCTACGACGCCTGCGCCGACTTTGTCTCGTTTGGCTTGCTCACCACGCGGGACGCGGCTTCGTACCACGGCGAAGCGCTCACGCTGCTCGCGCTACTCCACGCGCCCATCGAGCACGTCATCGTTCTGGACGCTGGAAACGTCGTCTTTGCCGACCCGAGCCTCTTGTGGGCCTCGCCAGCGTACGTCGAGACGGGCACGCTCTTCTTTTACGAGCGCGAAGTGCTCGCCGATGCCTATCTCACGGGCCACGTCCGCCGCCACGCTCCGAGCACGCACCTCCACCGACTCGTGCAGCAGTTCGAGTACACCCTCTTTCGTCTGGCTCATACGGGGCCGCCGTCGCCGCAGCTACAAGCCTCCTTGGCCTGGCACGGCCACTCGAGCGTCGAGCAAGATATGACGATGCTGGCGCTGCACAAAACCAGAGTCGCGGACGCCTTTCCGTTGCTCTGGCACCTCCTGCGCGACACGCGACATCGCATTCCGTTCTCGAACGGGACGAACGAACTGCTCTGGCTCGCGCTCGAGCTGCACCAATCGCCGTACTCATTTTCGCCATGGGCAGCCACGGTCGTCTCGAATACGTCGTCGTCGTCGCTCTGCGGTAGCCGCGGGCAGTACCTTCCAAGTGACGCCAACGCTCTCTTCTACCTCCGCGCCCGGTACATGGATGCCAGCGTGTTTCCCATCAATCACCTGCTCGCGTTTAGGCCTCTCGTGGACCCCTACCCGATGCAGATTAGTTCTACACCAGGATGGATGCTGACGCTGGACGCGATCAATGCCCGCGCACAAGTGCTATCGGATCAACTGCCCTCGTTTGTCGCGCCGCGCCGCACCCGCAGCGCCGAGGCCGCCGCCGATCCCGAGGCCGACACGTGCCTTGTGAACCAGCGCGCCGAGCCACTCTTCAAGGCCATCCGCGACCAGATCCAGCGCCGGGTGGCTACCGCCGCGTCCATGGCGCGTCGCCAGCAAGAGCGCTTGCAGCAACGCGTGTAGCTCAATGCACACAAGTGTCAAGTTGATACACTGAAATCGACCGCGAAAGAATAGCAAGAACGTTCATTAGAGGCATGCCAACGACACATTACATGGCCACGGCCGTGTGCTTGCGCACGATCGTCGAGAGCTCGTACGCGGTCGGGCGCTCGGTCGGGTCGGGCACCGCGCACTGCATGGCCATGGCGCGAACCCACTCGGGCATATCGCCCGAAAGCGTTGGCCGGATCTCGCCGTTGAGCACGAGGCCAATCAGCGCTGTGTCGACGAGCGCCTTGCCCGTCTTGGGGTTCTTCATGTCCGAGTACGGGATCATGTGCGACCCAAACTCGGTGAGGATCATCCCGAACGAGTAAATGTCGGCGGCCACCGTGTAGTGGCCTTCACGGAGGATCTCGGGCGCCATCCAGCGGTACGTGCCGACGCCGACCGTCATCGTCTCCTGCGTGTCTTCGCGCGAGACGCCAAAGTCCGAGAGCTTCGTGCCCTTCTTCGAGTCCAAAAGCACGTTCTTGGACTTCATGTCCCGATGGATAATGTCGAGCGAGTGCAAGTACACGAGCCCTTCGACGATGCTGTGGATGCACTGGACCTTCTCCGTCCACGGATACGTCTCGGGTGTTGTCTGCGAGAGGTGGTTGCGCAAGTCGCCCATGTCCATGTACTCGAGCACGCACTGGAGGTCCGATGGGTTGGACCACGCAACGCCAATGAGCTTGATGATGTATGGCGACTCGAAGCGTGCGGTGAGCTTGATCTCGTCGATGAAGCACTGGAGGTCGGCGACCGTCGCCTTCTTGCGCAGCGACGACTTGATGGCGACCGTCGTGCCGCGGAACGACCCGAGGCTCACTTCGCCATAGGCCCCCGAGGCAAGTGTTCGGCTGCCAATGAGCTCTTGCTGCTCGATGCGCCAGCGCGTGAGCGCTGTGAGATCCAACCCGAGGTCGGTGCCGTTGGACGTGTGGGCGGTGGTCGAATTGATGGGGCGAGCGAGGTCCACCGACCCAGACGAGGCGCGGGGCTGCTTCCGCCGCTTCCGGCACAAGAGATAGAGAATGATAGCAACGACGACGACGCTGCCGACAGCGATACCTGCAATCGCTTGCTTGGAGATCGTAAAGCTCACGTTGCCCGTAAGCGCGCCCTTTGGCGGCGCGCTGGTCTCGTTGGGCGAGATGGTCGGGCTGCCATCAGTCGCTGCGGTCGACACATTCGTCGCCACGGGTGCAGTCGTTGGGCAAGCGTCGGCGACGGTCTGGACGTACGTTTTCGGGTCGACGCAGCAGTACTGGCGCGGGCCGCCGAGGCGAATCGAGTAGAGGCGCCCGGCGCAGCAGCCAAAGTGGTTGGGGTTATAGCAGTCCGAGACGCCGCCGTCCGAGGACGTGCAGAGCACGAGGTTGGGAGCGCACGAGACCGTGACCATGCAGCCGCGTGGTGGAATGGCAATCTCAAAACTGTCTTGCGAGTCCGACACCACTCTTTTGACAAAAAGAGGGTGCGACGCGACCATAAACAGGCCAAGATCACCACCAAATGTCACAACATATCCCCGTCTTCTGGCACGGAAGGCGAGTCCCACATGCATGCAGCTTGCCTGCAGAGCCTTGTGCAGTCATGGTACCCTGGACAGCGTCCCATGGAGTTTCCTCAAGTTTCCGACGCCGTCACGTCGCCTGTACTGGTTATCGGTTTGTCGAAATTTCAAAAATATCAAAAATTGCAGCGTGGTATTGGCTGCAGGAACGCGACAGTTGATGCTACTCACTGTGCCTGCGGTGAAGAGAGGAGGGTCGTCGTGAATCGACAGTCACTCGCTTGCGTGTTCATTCGTTCGTTTGTTCGTGGACATGACCGGCACCAGATGCAGATGTATCTTGGGACACTCAAAACACCGTCTTTTCTCGTATAAATCGCATAAATTACGTTAATTCTCAACATTTCAGATCGCGTCGTTGATCGTTGGCGCTAGATGATCACAGCCGTGTGCTTGCGCACGATCGTCGAGAGCTCGTACGCGGTCGGGCGCTCGGTCGGGTCGGGCACCGCGCACTGCATGGCCATGGCGCGAACCCACTCGGGCATATCGCCCGAAAGCGTTGGCCGGATCTCGCCGTTGAGCACGAGGCCAATCAGCGCTGTGTCGACGAGCGCCTTGCCCGTCTTGGGGTTCTTCATGTCCGAGTACGGGATCATGTGCGACCCAAACTCGGTGAGGATCATCCCGAACGAGTAAATGTCGGCGGCCACCGTGTAGTGGCCTTCACGGAGGATCTCGGGCGCCATCCAGCGGTACGTGCCGACGCCGACCGTCATCGTCTCCTGCGTGTCTTCGCGCGAGACGCCAAAGTCCGAGAGCTTCGTGCCCTTCTTCGAGTCCAAAAGCACGTTCTTGGACTTCATGTCCCGATGGATAATGTCGAGCGAGTGCAAGTACACGAGCCCTTCGAC